ACTAATACTTTTGGCAATGTTGTCCGCGTAAATGTGTGTTTCATTCACTAAAGTTGCATCCCTTCCGCTCGCGCTCAATACTGTCTTTGTCTGCTGGACGCTTTTGGTGGGCACAAGATATTCCACAGCATTCAGGTGCTCGGTCGTTGTCGGGAAAACGTAAACAACAGGCTGAGGTGGGACTATAAAACGAGCGAATAGAAATCGTGTGCCACATATTTTCACAACGAGTCGACCTTATCTGGTCGATATTATCCTTCCAAACGCCACCGAACACCAAGGCATCGAAGATGGAAAACTCGTCCTCCCTTGCCCAGCTCTATGAAGACCATTCAGCTTTGCAGTATGGCTATGGAAAGTCCCTGATAATCAGCCATCTTGGTCCTGGTGAGGGTGAGAAAATTCTTGATTTAGGATGTGGCACTGGACGTCTTTCAAAGGATATCGCTGATATCATTGCACACGACGGCGAGGTACTGGGAGTGGACCCAAACACAGAGAGAATAGAAGTCGCCAAAGTGCATTATGAACGCCATTTGTCCAACGGAGCAAAGGTGAAGTTCATGACTGGTCTTGTTCATGATGCTGTGCCACATGGACCGTTTGATGCTGTCTTCTCCAACTTTGCACTTCACTGGGTACCGGAAGATGATATGAATGCTACGATGAGCAGCATAGACCGATGTCTGAAGCCTGGTGGCCGTCTGTGTTCTAACATAACACTGACGACTGGTCCCTATGCCAATGATCTTTCACTGAAGACGACAGGATTGAGTGAGGAGATGGTAACTGGAATGAATTTCCGATCTCTCGACTTCTGGACAAACCATTGCAGAACGATGGGTCTGGAAGTACAATTCGCACATCAGGATGATGACATGGTCGTACGTTTCAAGACTGTTCGGGAATACTTCGAGTTCGTGAAGGCGTACACAGAAGGAGGTGTCGATTACGGAAAGCTGAGCTCTGAACAACTGACTGCCTTTATGGCAAGTCATGATATGGGTAATCTGGACTCCGAGCTTGTCAATCGTTCTGCAATGCTGACCGTGGTGGCGTCAAAGCCAGACAGTGCGTTGTATTGAGAACTCTCTGCTTTTTAAACGGCATAAGTACTGATTTATGTAGCCAAGTCTAATAATTTCCTTCATCCAATCATTTTCGTGAAGCACATTTATCGTAAAGCATATTAAAAACTCAGATGGCGAGCCAAGGATTATTAAATTAAAACAAGGAAAACGGTGGGGCACAAGTTAAGCGTTAGAGTCCAGAAGTCCAGAAGATGGAATGTCTCGGTACTCCGTGTCAGTCTGGTGCTACCTTGTGCACGTCGGACTGTTCAAAACCCGGTTTAGTTGGTGGACTCAAACGCATAACTTGTGCGCACCGTTTTCCTTGTTTCAATCCATAGTAAAAAACACGCTTTTCACAATAGCATGATAACAATAAAATCTCCATATGCATTTCTTTTTTTTCTTATACAATACTAGTAAATAATGTAGTAGTGTGTTCGAGACGCCCCGTCACATACACCGCTTTTCTACGTTCACTTTCATCACTTAGCAATGCTCTTATGAGCGGTACTTGGAGTTGTGGTAGCTGGACAGCGTGCTACATAACTTCCATTTTATCTTTTAAACACAAGTATGGCAGGATGTAAACTGTATTGCTGTGTCCGTGAGTTGAGCGTACAGCCGATCATCGGATATACATGTTGTTGTTGTTGTTGTTGTTGTTGTTGTTGTTGTTGTTGTTGTTGTTGTTGTTGTTGTTGTTGTTGTTGTTGTTGTTGTTGTTGTTGTTGTTGTTGTTGTTGTTGTTGTTGTTGTTGTTGTTGTTGTTGTTGTTGTTGTTGTTGTTGTTGTTGTTGTTGTTGTTGTTGTTGTTATTGTTGTTGTTGTTGTTGTTGTTGTTGTTGTTGTTGTTGTTATTGTTGTATTATTTCAATTCAATTCGCTCAGGGAACAGGAAATGCTGCCTTCTCACCGGAGAGACTATTCTCCGATTCCCACCAAAAACGAGAAACCTGCGATATGAATATGCATTTTTGTTGCTGTCCACAGATTGGAGTACAGTCGACCTACCCTTAACCCGACTGCTGCATGGACGATAAGTGCTGCGAATAGTGATCATGCGCCCTGGCCTGAGTAGCTCGCTTGGCTAATTGAAAGTCTGCCGACCTGGGCCACATTATGTCGCTAAGGCATGCACAACCCCAGTCACAGCGCGCAAGTTGGTTGAGTTTGGCCGTCAGGAGGCCAGCGCAAGGTATCCGGGGCGCGGGTCTGATTCCAGCGAGGGGCAATGTGGTACCCCGCAGCGCAAGGGTAGCGTGATACCCTAAGCCAGCGTGCGTGCTGCATGAGTAGCGTGATACTCGCTGAGCGCTTTTGCTGTTGCCTAGCAACGCGTTTCTGTCTTTCCTGGGCCCCCAACGCATGTTGGGTGGCCCTGCGCATGACTGCACGTTGTCATAGCAACCTTGGAAACCTCAAGCCGGTTACCAACAAGCTAGGAATCAGACCAAGCCGCCGAATGCCCCCGCCGGCCCCCGGCGCTTCATTGCAATTGAATTAATATTTGTCCAGAATAGTGAGCTAGGACACATCAAGAGGCGTGGGTGGGAGGGAGAAATTGCAAAACAGTTGGATGCACGCAGCAGCACAGCTAGCAAGAGAAAGAGCCGTGGATGGGTTTGTTCCTGTTTTTGATGGCTGTGGCCATCCGTTGGCCCAGCGGTCTCGTGTGAGTACGGTGTTTGTTCGTGCTGCCAGCTCGCGCCCGGCATTTGTTTGCGCTGGCAGCTCGGGCCCGGTGCGCGAGTGAAACCGAACCGTGACAAAGGCTTTCGCTCTTTAGTGCTATTGACTGGCTTTTCATACGATGCCTATTGATGTCTAGAGACATGCTGTCTAGCCTTCCCCTAGTACGCATTCACGGGGCTTTGTTGAAGTTCGTGCCGTGAACTGCCAAAGGGAACTGTTTGAATGGTGCTGGGGCGAGTGCGACATTACGGCGTCCCTGCAGCCGGCCTAATCGCGTTTGTCGCCACAACCGATTTTAACCCGACTGCTGCATGGACGATAAGTGCTGCGAATAGTGATCATGCGCCCTGGCCTGAGTAGCTCGCTTGGCTAATTGAAAGTCTGCCGACCTGGGCCACATTATGTCGCTAAGGCATGCACAACCCCAGTCACAGCGCGCAAGTTGGTTGAGTTTGGCCGTCAGGAGGCCAGCGCAAGGTATCCGGGGCGCGGGTCTGATTCCAGCGAGGGGCAATGTGGTACCCCGCAGCGCAAGGGTAGCGTGATACCCTAAGCCAGCGTGCGTGCTGCATGAGTAGCGTGATACTCGCTGAGCGCTTTTGCTGTTGCCTAGCAACGCGTTTCTGTCTTTCCTGGGCCCCCAACGCATGTTGGGTGGCCCTGCGCATGACTGCACGTTGTCATAGCAACCTTGGAAACCTCAAGCCGGTTACCAACAAGCTAGGAATCAGACCAAGCCGCCGAATGCCCCCAAATTCCGCGTTGGTCAGCCGAATGACCTTAGTGTGGTATTCAAGCGCTTCAGCTACATGTACGTAGTTCAAATGCGTGCCCTTCGCATGTTTGTTTTCCCTTAGTGACACCGAGAAGGGTTTGAATCGCATGTAGTCGGAGCGTGCGTGCACACATGGGGTGTCCCACACCGCCATGGCATGGGGTGTCCCACACCGCCATGGCATGGGGTGTCCCACACCGCCATGGCATGGGGTGTCCCACACCGCCATGGTCTGGGGTGTCCCACACCGCCATAGCATGGGGTGTCCCACACCGCTAGGTGGGAGCTATAGCACAGCAACAGAGTGGTGCAGATAACTTATCATAAGTATCAGAGGCGTGCGTGCACAGTCAGTGCTAGAACGTGAGTGCATACGTCCGCGAATGGGCGTACCAGCGTGTGCGTAGCGTGTGTACCTGCATGCATGCTTGTGCGGTGTCAGACTGTGGGTGCGTGTACGCGTGCATGCATGTGTGTGTGCATGCGTGGGTGTGTGTGCGTGCGTGTGTATGTGTCTGCGGGTGCGTGTATGTGGGTGTGGCTGTGCGCGCTTGCGCGCCTGCGGACGGCGAACAGTTACTTTCCACAGCGTACATAGTTCTTGTAGCAGGCACTTCGCCATCTGCCGAGTTTCATGATCTCGGATTCAGTGAAGCCGCTCATTGCTCCTGTGGTTGCGGCTCCGGCTCTGAGGCCGTGCAGTGAATACTGGATAGGTGGGTACCCTGCGCTGCTCAGGAGCTGACGGATTAGACGGGTGAGTCTTGGTGCAGTTAGGAACTTGCCACAGCTGTCAACGAACAGTGGTCTATTGGGCAGGTTGGGGCGTCTTGATAGATAGGTATGCATGGCTTTGACCGGGCAAACCGTTGAGTTGGTGGTTGTGAGCCGGACGGAGTGACCCTTGCCGAGTTGGTCGGTCTTGGACTTCTTGATTGTGACCTGTATTGCCTGCGGCGTGATGGAGAGGTCTTCTGTTCGGAGGCCACCGTCTGACATGGTCGTGGCGGTTGTGGAAGTGTACTCACTTGCCCGGAGACACGCAAAGAAGCCCAGGCAAATAGCTGCCCATACCATGGCTCGGTCGGTCGCGTTGAGGTTAGACCGTATCAGGGCCCTGCGCATAGCTGCCATGTGGGGCAGGAGGATTGGCTTACTGGCGTTTTTAGTTCGGTTGGCCTGTGCACGTGCCACTCCTTGAACTGCGAGGTCCACTCTTCGCGATGAGAGATCTTTGCCGTTTTCTTTGGCAATTGCCCGGATCGCCGACACATACAGGCGGACGGTTGACGCGGCATGTTGACGCGCCAGGTAGGCTACAAACGCCAGCATGATGGTGTCTGTAATCACCTTGGTGCCGACTAGTTGGCAGAATTGGTGCAGTCGTTTCCAGGCTGTCGCGTATGTGGCACGTGTGGACGCTGACAGGCCTAGCCACTGGTAGGCCTGACCCTCCAACATCAGAGGGAGTAGGTGCTCTCGGGCACCGGAGATGGTGTGTCTTCTGCTGTGGGTGCCAGTCGGCGAAATCGGGCCATCTGAAACCGAGACAGGGAGTCAGCAATCGCATTGTCAGTGCCGGGGATGTGGGAGACTATGACGTGAAAGTTGTGTCGGGCAGCAATGGCAAACAAAGTGCGTACCAGCGCCATTAAGTCGGGGCACTTTGTGCGTGAGCGGAACCAGATGTCGCATACGCTACGGTTGTCGCAGTGGAAGCGGATGCGCTTCAGATGCAGCTGCGGTGCCCATGTGGATGCTGCGGCCACGATGGCAAAGAGCTCCATCCACGCGATGGATCTCTGGGATTGGTGCCTCTGCCACCGGTGTTGGAGCCACCGGCCGGCGAAGAAAGCACCATAGCCGATGGCTCTAGATGCGTCCGTGTAGAGGTCCATATCGGCGGCGGCTGACCACGTGGGTTCTAGGAAGAAGGCGACGCCATTCCAGGCAGGGAGGAAGTCAAGCCACCACTGGATGTCTGCTTTGGCGTCTTCTGTGATTCTGATGTAATCGTTTGGATGCGGGACCGTCGTGCTGAGATCAATGAGGCGGCGCAGAAACATGCGGCCCGCAGGGACCGCCTTGCAGGCAAAGCTGAGGTGACCTATCAGGGACAACAATTCAGACTTGCGGGCGGTAGGGCGGGTATGTTGCCAAGCCTTGAGGGCAATGAGAAGGTCTTCTAACTTGTCGGATGGGAGGCGGATTTCGAAGCGCTCTGTGTCCAGCATGACACCGAGGAATGTCAGGGTTGTACTAGGGCCTTCCACCTTTTTTGGATTGACCGGGAAGCCTAAGTCGTGGCAGGCTACCAGGGCACGGTCAAGCTGGTGCTGTGCGCCGATAGAGTCCGTCGCTCCACCAAGGTAGTCGTCTAAGTAGTGGATGACTGGGGCTACGTCGAAGTTGTGCGACATGACCCACTGGAGGGCGTCTGCGACTTTGTTAAACAGCGACGGTGATGAGCGAAGGCCGAAGGGTAGGCATTTGTCCACGTAATATTGCCCGCGCCAGAACAGGCATAATAGTTCCCAGTCCTCTTTCCGTACTGGACAAATGCGAAATGCGTCTTGGAGGTCGACCTTCCACAGATGGCAGCCACGGCCTAGGGACCGTGCGAGATTTACGCCGTCGTCGACCGAACAGTACTGTACAGAGAATTTGTCGACAGGGATACCATCGTTCACTGAGTGGCCCTGTGGTGCTGACAGATGCATAATCAAGCGCCATTTTTGCACCGACCGTGACTTTTTGGGAACCACACCCAAACCGGAGACCTGTGTAAGTGTGAAGGGGGGCTCTTGGTAGGGACCGGCCATGCGACCTGCGGCAATTTCACGACCGATGGCAGCATCGACAATGTCAGGGTGCTCAATCGCTGATTTGAGATTACGAGAGACTCGGAAGGTACGGGGACCAGCAAACCCAATATCGAACCCGTAAGACAAAGAATGTATTACGAATGAGGCAAAAGCCGGATCAGGATGCTGACACAAAGCGTCCTGCAGGTAAGAAACGTTAATGGGGGTTACAGGCGTGTGCAAATGGATTGGCTCGTGAGCGAGGGTGCGTGTAGGAGAGATGTGAGCAGCTGGGCAGAGTGTGTGAGTGCTATTGGCCTGGGTGAGTGTAGAGTTACCGGTGAGTGACTGGAGTGACCGAGTCTCCAAGCTGGGCAACTGCGAGCTATTGGTCGCGGCTGGCGGCGGCTGGCTTTCCTGGGCATGACTTCGCGGGGTGGCTGCCAAAGCATGTGCTGCACTGGTGGCCGTAGCGACAGGCTGCGCGTTGGCAGCGGCCTTGGTTGTAGTCGCGGCAGACAGCTGGGGCGTTTGGGTGAGCGGTAGCCCCTGACCGCTGTGCCGGAAAGGGGCGTTTGGCTGCTGGCCCGTCAGACAGTGAAGCTAGGCTACGGGCGCGGGGGCAGCGAACTGTTAAATGACCTTGCCGGTTGCAGTGACGGCAGGGAGGCAGGATGGAGTTTGTAAACCACTCCGACCAGAGTTCCGGATCTGACGTGGCAAGGCTAGATTTGCTGCGTGCAGCTCTTGCACGGAACGACATGTCGAAGCCAGACCACGCACCGAATGTATAGCGTGCGGCCGCTTTCACGATTGTGCTTTGGTACTTGAATAATTCCGGACCTCTGCCGGGGTCGTGGTGGAGGGCTACTTGGGCGAAGGCTGAGAACGCCTCCAACCACGATGTCAAGTCTACAACTTTCTTTAGACGGGATGACGACGACATGGCAGATGGCACAAGGGTGATGTGGTCCCCCGTCCCCTGCAGGGTGAACCCACTGTCCGGACCCATGCTCGTATCAAAAGCCAGCTCTCCCAGTACCCTACCAAAATCAACGTACTCACGTTTGATAATCTTGTCCGTGAGATGGTCGCTGAGGGCAGGTAATGGGATGGATGGTGGACGCTCTGGGGCGAGCAAATCGCCGTCCAGGAAGAGACTCTCCTGGTCTGGTCTTAGTGCTGAAGCCAGTGAAGGCTGGACATATTCAGGCTCAGAGTCAGGCACCACAACATCACCAGAGACTGGACCGGCCCGCTGTGCTGCTGTTGCTGCTGCTACAGTTGGCTGTGCATGTGGAGGTACCACCGGTAGACCCATCGAAGTTGTCAATGACGTCATGCAGGACGCCACTGCATCTTGCACGACCCGAGAGATCTCGGCAGATTGCTGCGACGTGAACGCGGGCGACGAGTCAGGCTGGGTCGCGGCCGCGGGGCTTTGAGTGGCCGGGACTGCAGGACTAGCCCGCCGACGCGTGGTCTTTTTTGCGACCTGGCTCGTAGACTTAGCTTTGTTTCTTGCCTGGGCCGACAAATGCTCATGCAGACGGCTCACCTGGGCTCTAAAATTGCCTGAGCAAGAAAGCCCCAGTTCTCGCAGTCGAGTTTCAACTCCGTCGACTTTGAGTTGGCGGAGATCGGAAAGTGATGGCACGGAGCTCATGGTGACGGCTCAGGATCTCCTGCGACTGCGGAACTTTAGAAATTTCAAATCTCGCCGAGTAATTGCAACAAGGAAGAAAGAAATTGCAAAACAGTTGGATGCACGCAGCAGCACAGCTAGCAAGAGAAAGAGCCGTGGATGGGTTTGTTCCTGTTTTTGATGGCTGTGGCCATCCGTTGGCCCAGCGGTCTCGTGTGAGTACGGTGTTTGTTCGTGCTGCCAGCTCGCGCCCGGCATTTGTTTGCGCTGGCAGCTCGGGCCCGGTGCGCGAGTGAAACCGAACCGTGACAAAGGCTTTCGCTCTTTAGTGCTATTGACTGGCTTTTCATACGATGCCTATTGATGTCTAGAGACATGCTGTCTAGCCTTCCCCTAGTACGCATTCACGGGGCTTTGTTGAAGTTCGTGCCGTGAACTGCCAAAGGGAACTGTTTGAATGGTGCTGGGGCGAGTGCGACATTACGGCGTCCCTGCAGCCGGCCTAATCGCGTTTGTCGCCACAACCGATTTTATAACGATATTTCCGTCACACCAAGAAATATTGTTATAAGGGTAATATTGTTATAGGGGTAACTGGTTCATTTCATACACATACGTCATAATGCATGAATTCTGTTCATTTTTTACACTCTTCATAGCATAAAAAACTGACGTACATGCTCATTATGGGCACAGCAAGGTGCCCACTGGTGCCCCCATTGCATTTCGTCATGTCCCAGCGACTTATCAAGTGAAGCTTGCCCTACCTGGATAGTGGGCTCTACATGTTGCTTGCTAGATATTGTTATAAAATGGAAAATGTCGATTGGTCAGCCCATTTTATATCGTTATAGGGGTAATATCGTTATAACAATATTGTTATAGAGGTAAGGCACTGTATACACAAGTCAATGGAGTGATTTGGTTTGGCAGAAAAATATCGTTATAAGGGTAATATCGTTATAGAGGTTATCGTTATAAGGGTAGGTCGACTGTATTATGCTCCCTAGCGTCAGCAATGTCATTAGGTTGAGCACTCTTACCTTAGCGCGAACCCTTGCCGCTCGCCTTGTGCAAAGCTCACTGCTCTTGGAGCATTTCGAGCACTCTTGGCAGGGTTTGCAGCTCTTTATAGAAATGGTTTGCTTCACGGAAACGTATTTCATTGCGAAGAGCTGTGCTTCGGTCCTCTGAGCTGTGCTGAGGAACTCTAACAGAGCGAAAAAGTTGCTGTCCACAGATTTGAGTATGAGAAAGATATGAGAAAAATGAATAATGATGATGTCGGATTACGATAGTTTAGTTGTTATGCGAGATTTCCCTGACAATTACAGATAAAGCGTTTCTGGAGGCAAATGTCGAGAAAGGATGCGAGAACAAAAATACAGCGTTCCTGAAGGCAATGGTGCACATAAATAGAGCATAAGGCAAAAGCAGAAAGCAGAAAGGAGGTGAGAATTTACAAACAAGGCAATCGTGCAGAAAAAGAGGGCACGGAAGAACTAGCGGTTCTAGAGGCTAAGACATAAAGAGGTAGGGACAAGCGACTCAATACAGTGTCAGATGGTGCTCTTGAATTCATCCTTTTGTGATGTATTCATGTTTGACATGAATGTACATGTACATGTACATGTGCATGAATGTACTTCGAAGTACATACATACATACATACATACATACACACATACATACATGTACATTTGTATTTTGTATTTATATCATTATCTCATGGCACATCATGATGACGGCCAATAAAACTGAGACAAGGGTGAAAGCCAACCACAGCAGTAAAACAGATAAAAGAATACAAAATTAATAAGAGGCAAAGAAGGCAAAGGAGGGACATACATACATGTACATACATACATACATGCATACTTTTTTTTACGGGGTAACGGCCTCTTTTACGGGCAAAATAAAGTCATGTAGACGTGAAAAAAATTGAGATACCATGAAAGTTAAAATAGAACTTTATTAAAGTACAATACATTGGGAAACTCCAAGAAATTCCACGTAAAACAGACGGAATTCAGTTTTCAATGGCCGATGCCTACCCCAGCACCATCCTGCGTCGACAGGCCTGTCAGGCGCCTTCTAGACCCGCGTAGCTGGAGGTCGACTGCATGGATCACTGCAAATTGGCTGCGAACTCGCACCCAAGCCATGATGATTGAAAATGGCTTGTCCCACTTGAGGGCGAGGCGACCAGCAAGTCGCTTCTGATAGCTGGCGTATTCGCGATGTAGCACCCCATCCGTGGAACAAACCAGTGGTGTGAACGACCCACGGAGGTCCTCGGAGGCCTGACGATACTTCTTTTTCTTCGCGTTAGCAGCGCGGTTGGAAGTAGCTTCCCAGGATGAATGGGAGTAACTGGGTGCGTTGGCATCAATGATGCGATTAACAAAAAACGCCACCCTGTTATCCTCTCACACACCCCGGGCAAGCCAATCTGCCCGAAGAGCAGGCTGCCCCGTCCGATCACCCTCCGGCACCATGATCGGCTCGACGACAACACCACCGAATGCCATATCAGCTAGCTTTGCATCGCTATCACGCAGATCATTGTGGCCTCGCTTGATAAGTCCACCTTTCGGGCAGTCAAGGCCATGCTGGAGAGAGAAAGGCTTCCCGCAACCATCACATTGCGCTGGCAGGGCAAGCGGCTGCCGACGATAGCGGATGGCAAGTTGATCGCGGAATTCTGTACTCGACAGATCATACCCCTCGCGCTTCAGGGGCAACACCGTAAGCCATCCGGAGGCATTTCCCCGTACGATGCGGGAGAGGGTGCGCTCCTCAAGCTGTGGCAGGTCACTGAGAATTGATTGGCTGATTTCAGCGGAAATCACATCTCGTTCCCTGCTGATTTGGCTTGTGATGCGGCGACAGTGAGCGCTGTGATCATTTACGTTTACGGGGTTACCAGATTGGATTGAGTTGCGCAGGATGTCAGTAGCGTTTCTCGAATTCTGGTAAGCCTGGGGTGCTGTGTGGACAGGATCGGCCAAAGCCAAGCCACCATACTTGACTGGCAGGGTGAGGAGCTTGTGTCCCCGAGGAAGAACCTCCCGCCCAAGGATGGCTGGGGCAAATTGCTCCAGGATGACGTCTCGAAGCGGAGCAAACTCCTCCTCAAGACCCTGGACAACACGCTGCAGGTATGACCACTCACATGAGAGCGAGCGATTCAACGCACAATACGCCGACTGGGGGTATTTCCTGGTAGCAGCGGCAAGGCAATTGACACTGCTCACCCACGTCTCCACTCTCTCCTTGACAAACGATCTCACTCCGTCAGGTTCACCGATACAGCCTCCTAGGAAACGGGCGGATGTGGCTACTTGGATGTTCAGATCCCCAAAGATATCATTAGCTTGCTGAACGAGATCCGGGGAAACAATAATGATACTCTTTGTCGGCTCAACTTGGTAGCCGAAAGCTTCACCCTGATCGATAAGGCGGTCGAGCCACTTCCTGATGTTGCGCAACCGTCCCGCACAAGAAGAATGTACCGAGACATTCAGCGCCCTGACACCTAGCTCCAACAATGTCTGTATTTCGTGATAAACAAGCAGGGTGCGGCTTCTACTCCAGAAAATAAGGTGGTTATTAATTAAAATCAACCAACAGTGAGACGTACCTCTGGTATCCACACATCCAAGTTACATGTACGAATATTGAGAGATTGACGGTCATACTACTCCCGAAGCCAGGTCAAACAAGGCAGGGCGGCGGTCCTAGTGGCCCTGAGGCACTTGCTGCGCTGTCCGTCGTTCTCCGATTTCCTGTCGCCATAGTCGCGCATGTCGAGAGTCTATGCTCCTGTTGCCTCAAGGGAAATGGGGATGTTGAGAGCGGCAGTGTCAGTGTGGATTGCTTGTCAGACGAATTGTATTGAGTGTAATGGCCAAGTTTGTCGCTTCCGATGATATTGGCCAGTTTGCGGCTTTGTACTTCGACCTGTAGTAACTATTTCTTTTCTTGCACTACAAATACAAAATTAACGAAATAGCACGAGCATAGTGGGGTAGGCAGGGAAGAATGGTGTTTGGAGTCACTTTACAAGGACAGTCTCAATTCCAGCGTATTCCATCCCGCCGCTTCACTTGAAGTTATCGGACAGTTTTATCAGCTACCAGTAACACTCCTGACCTTGAGAAGCAGGTGGAACACGCATGCGCTAAGTCTCAGGGCAAGATTGCCACCACCTGCAATGGGCGTGGTGACATATCAGTGTTCGTGTTTGGCTGTCGACTATTCAACCTAATTGAAGTAGTAATTCTGCAGACTGCATTGGACTACATGTAATCCAACACAGCTTGCATGCATTGCCCCTCTGCAAAACCAAACGACCGATTGGGTTCAACATATCGCAAGTGGCTCGGAAGTGACTTTGGCTTTTACGTACAAGTAAGTCTACTACTTGGTATAAGTATAATTTTTCCTCACAAAATGTCGCCTGTATATGTATCTGTTCTCTCATCGCTTCAATCCAAAACAGTATAAGAGTAAAAATTTAACTCGGATACTGAGCCAGTAATAAATGTAAAAAAGAGAAGAAAACACATAAGAGTATAATTTGTTTTTCGGTGGCTTTCTTCTCTTACGAGTCCTGTTTAAAATGATGATACATGTAGGTTTTGTAAAAACAGGTTTGGTGTGCTGGCCTTTTAGCACCCTATATGTCCGGTCTCAGGCCGTGATGGGTGATTGTGTATCTTGGACCACAAGGCAGACCTCGTTCCAGAGTACATGTACTATAGTGCCCCTTCCTTGACTTCCACACGCACTCACATGTACATGTACATGCACGTGCATGCTGTCACTAGTGAGCAGGCTTCCACAGCTTTCATCTACCATTCCCCCAAACCCGCCCCTCCATCTGGTATGGGTGAACTTTCATTCCTAGCGGCGAGCAGTTGGAACGTGCTTCTAGCTCACTGTCATAAAACTATGTCTCTGTTGTAATTTGTAAACAGATCTACATGTATATTGTTCCTAAGATTCACAGACAGTGAACACGTTCACACTCTTCCCCACACACCACACCAATGTGCACATATTTAATATTTGTATTGTTGGTATGGTCTTTTTCTATTACCCTTATCATGATTCTTGTCTCATCATCACCTTCCGTCATGTACTTCTAATGTCACTCCTTTCCCACTTCTTGGAAAAGCGCCTCCCAAACCATTCAATCCATTTTATAGACGTACTTGAGTAGACAAAAATCCGTGTCATGACTGACATCCGATGCATCACCTTTCATAAAAAGCAACTACAACATCATTTTGCTGCAATAAAAAAATAATATTTTTACAGGCACGGCTAACACGCCCCTACTTACAAAGGACTATCTTCAAGTTGAAAGTTATTTTAAGCTTAACTAATATTTTTGGCAATGTTGTCCGCGTAAATGGGTGTTTCATTCACTAAAGTTGCATCCCTTCGAACTTCCGCTCGCGCTCAATAATGGGGCTGTTAAGTGATGACGTCACAGTTCCTTCGATACGCATAGCAACGATCCCACTGGGGACAAACAAAAGTAGCGTCGTCTCCACCGAACCAGTTGCCAGTGGCAACATATAGGAATCGTGTACATTTCTTCGTTTCTTCTTTGCTGTTTTCAGTGAGTGTTTTGTTTTCTCTTTGTCCTTGATCTCGACGGTGTTGTCGTGCTCATTACCTTACTGAGACGTCTCTTGTGACTGTAGCCAGTGTCACGGAGGATTTTATTGGCGTGACGAGGTAGATCGCCGAGATCGCGTGAAAACGCTCTGCATTAGTAGCTCCTGTAGAATGTCTTCTGGGATGGCGTATCCATGGTCAACAAAGCCAAGGTGCAAGACAGCATAAGAGATCGTGTAAACGATGGGAACTCCAAAAGGTAAGCTCCTGAACAAGTGGACAGATATGTGTATTTAAAAACTCTCTCTTCATCCATCGATTGCCGCTATGCATTGCATTTTGTCTGCACAGATAATCTGGACAAATAAATTATATTGTAACTGGAGAGTGCAATCGTGCTTGGGACCCATCCCAATGTCATCACATGGCTGTGGTGACTATTGTATACCTGTACCTGGGAGAGTTTTCCTCAACTGAGACGGAGTGTAGGTGGATGGATTATGAGAAATGCGAAGATGTGGAGTAAGTTGTGTCGAAGAAATGTGTAATAAAATAAAATTTACTTTACACTCAAACATACACTGTACATGTACATGTAACATCATGATACTGATGATTCCATCTTCATATCTCCGCAACAGGTACGCCATACGCACCAAACACATGGTGTGTGTGCACGCGCGCGCTTGCGTGCGCGCGTACATGCACACACTCTCATGCGTGGCCGAGTTGGCCGGATGAACAGACCACGCATTTGCACGAGGTGTCCGTTATGTCATTAGAGTGCTGTACTTTATGACTTTATTCCAAAATAGTATGTCTTGCTCCTGTGAAATGGAGTTTGTGTCTATGCTCAGCGGGTATCGGGCCACGACGCCACACTGCAGTCAGCGCTGGAATTAAAATAGCACTTCATGGATTATTTTAACTAATTTCCTTTGCGTTTACATGTACTTTGTTGAGCCCGTGGTTTCATTTCTGTGTTCTGTTATGATTGGCCTCTGGAAATAATCGGAGTGGATGTCATTTTTGTCATATGTGTGTGCCTTGTGCAACAGGTTCAAGGCTAGATGCACTTCACATTCGGCGTGCGATCTCGGCGTCTGGGACCTGATAACGTCTTGGTTGGATGGGTAATCAAGGACGATACTACTCGGCGCACCAATGTACATGTCAATGTAATTTTTTACTCTTTCAGACTGAAAGAGTAAAAAAGACAGAGCTGCACTATTTACGGACGAATGTGTCTGTTAGAGAGGAAATAAATAGTATTCACAAACAAGTCCCACTTATTGTTTCTGTTCGTAAAAGGAAATTGCAATTTTTTGGTCATATTGTTCGTTCCGGCTGTTTGTCATTGACTGTTCTTCAGGGTTGTGTTGCTGGAGGTCGTTGCCGAGGCAGGCCCAGAATGTCATGGCTTGATAATATTATTTCATGGACTGCACTTGACGTGCAGTCCCTGCTCGCTGCTGCACGCGATCGATTTTTATGGCGCTCACTTGCTCATACTTGCTCTGTGACGCCCCGACGACCTTAGGGCTATGGGCTTGTGGTGATGACTATTTACGTCTTGATGCTTACTTCGGTGCTAGCGTGTTTCCCCCGGATTATTTCTATCATCATGCGTGTTCTTGAGCTGAGCGAGCACATGCATGAGTGTGCAGCTATAGCCCTGTGTATCTTTGGTGACACTTTGTTCTGCAACGCATGTACCTTGTAACAGTATGTGCTTGCACTGCTTTGTGTGGCCTGCATATTTCAAGACTATTCAGTGCATTAGACCCGGGTTGGTTTGGTTGCCGGATGATCTCTTGTTGCGTCGCTCTGTGTTTTGTATTCATCAATTTTTTGGCTTTAGAATTGAGCTGGTGTGTGGTTCCCAATATCAAAACATCATGCTGGTGCTCTGTGTTTTGATTATCGACTGTCCGAGCAGTCGCGATTCATTACCAGAACGGTCAATACTGTAGTCTCTTGACGTGTTTGTCTTTTTGTGTTTTCGCCGGGGGAATTAGCGGTGACGTTGCACATAGAACGGCAGTGTTGCATCACTGGACGACCCTGCCTCTGACTTCATGTCCCCAGGATGTGCTGCAGATACACCAGACAGTCACTTCCTGTAAACACGCAAACAGCAAAAGAAGAGATCCCGCAAATCAGGAAAACCCATTGCGGAAAATATCGAGTAGATCATACACCATTCAATAATCTGGAGTAATTACAGTGAGACAAACACTTCACTGCTCTCTCTCTCTCTCCATCCTTCCAAAATACCCTGTAACAATTTCCTAGAATTATTTTATTTTAATATATTCTCAGGACATCATTCTGAACATAATAACTTCTTCCATGGGTCTTCAATCACCACGGAGGGCGAGAATATATCTAAGTCATGCAGTTTACGGGAGGTGCGAGCTGTCATGGATATAGAGGCTGATATTATTGTGCCAGCGTGAGGGCAGAGACAGAAAGAAGACACTGATTTCTTTAACAACTCACCTACATAATAATTATTATAATCGAATCCACAGGGAGCGCTCGTACTTTGATCCATCAGGACGGGAAGAATCTTCAAAGGACTCTCAAACACGGAGTTTTACAGTGGGCAGCCAATTTCACAGCCATTATGAAGGCCCTCGACGACTACAGGAGATTTGTAGAGGAAAGAACAAGGAGTAAAGAGCGACAACAATCGCTTGAAGAAAAAGCAAAGAAAAACTGCTCTCTCTCCAGTCATTTAGATGCTGTTGCCTTTGACAACTGGTTCCATCCAGAGGACGCGACTTTTGTTTGTCCCCAGTGCTCTCCGTTGCTATGCGTATCGAAGGGGCCGTGACGTCACACTTAACAGCCCCATATCCCCCCATAGGGCTTGAAAGTCCTACGTCACGGGATCACGTGCCACATGAACTGGATCCACTACCCACTCGAGCTCTTGTGACCAGCTTTGAAAATAGTGGAGGAGACATATTTCTTTCGATTTCGACCAGAAGCCTAGGCTGCTGTCTTCCCCCTGGCCCCCAGTTCTGCGTTTTGTTTGTTTTAGAATGTCTTTAGTACCGTTATCTAGCATCGCCACTTTTTTCAGTGGAGAACCAAGGCTGATCCAGCGTGGAGAAAATGCACACTCTTCGAACCGCGTGGAATCATTTCTGTTTCACCATGAGCTTGGGCACATTACTGCCAAGATCCACGCAAGCATGAAGGACAAGAGATATGATGTGGAGGTGAGCAACCTAGCACTAAACAACTGTTGTGCCGTTCCTAGCTGCCTACAGTCTCTTCTATCGACCTGGACACCCTCACATCGTCTTTGAATTTTTCTACTATTTTTATATTCAAATTTTTGTGTGGATCGAACTTGGTTCTGAAGGTGGCGTTGTACGCGCTTCGTGCACTTGTCCCAAAGGCCAAGGACGGTGCCACCACATGGCTGCAGCCCTTGTCTACGCGAACAAGAATGTGAGCAGCACGGACAGGGAATGTTCTTGGACTGTACGGAAGGGAACTAGTGAAACAAAGCAAGGTTTTTAAGCAAATTATTGTTGATTATTAGTTTTGTGAAAGTAGAAAACTGGTGCCTCCAATGTCACTGCAACACGTACATGTATTGGTTTCATGAAATTCTTTGCCTCGATGTTTAGCTTACTGGCAATCCAGCATGTGCGACAACCAGTTGGCAGGTGTTACTGTAACTGATGTGGATGATGCTTATCAATATTACCAAGAGTAGATAAACAAGAGTGTGCAACTCCGGATCTCTCCTGCACAATCTGCAGATACCGCGGCCCGCGGGCAGAATTTTTTGTTGACGTCACCTTTTTTACAGAGCATGCGGATTTTGCCGCAGGGCAGTGTAAGAGCAGGTGCTGGGCACCGACCTTGTAATGTAAAGCCTGGCCAAGTGCACGAGGCAAAACTTCCCAAAAGGCTCGCAGCGTGTCCGTCATAGAAAAGATTACGTCAACAAAAAATTGCGTCGTGGGCCAACCCATCCTCGAGTTGCACACTCTTGTTTATATGTAGGACTCAGTATAGAGTCCATGCACTATATGATGTCCAGCACCCTATATAGAGTCCATTGGTCCAAAATCCACTATACAGAGTCCAGGAGTCCACTCAGTTTTGATCAGCTTCATCCTGCCGCGCAATCCCCTATAAGGAGTACACTTTTTCTACAAGTCCCCTATTCACGGTCCAGGATCTAGGAGTCCAGTTTATCCAGTCACGCCGTCCTGTGTGTTGTGCCCGAAAGAGAACAAACACCTTTTCAGTTTTACTTGCCTCATGTCATGGCAGCGCATTCCGTTCTTCACTTCAGCCATGGCTGCAAGTTCTGCTGTGCAGTTGCTGACATTAATCTGTCTCAAGTAACCAAGGAGACGTTCAAAATCAAATCTGGAAAGCGTCTTGTGGTTCTCTGAAGACATTTCATCAGTGCGCGGGATGAAAGCAGAAATTGCAGAACGAGAAAAGTTCAGCACAGTTCAAATCTGACGAGTCAGGTACACTGACACTCTCTTTCGTTCGACGCCACAAGGATCCCCTGTTTGGCTGGCCATTGCTGCCAGTAAGGCGTTTGAACGGTTTCATCAGAGCGAGGGATGAAAGCAGAAAGCGGAGAACGAGAAAAGTTCAGCACAGTTCCAATCTGACGAGTCAGAAACACTGACACTCTCTTTCGTTCGACGCCACAAGGATACCCTGTTTGACTGGACAAGAGCTGCCTGTACCACCGTGTCAAAAGGCTGTCCAACTACATGGCAGGACGATGACTGAGGTAAGGAAGCTTTTACTCGTTTCGATTAGTCTGCTGTTCTGTCGTTATGCTTGACTTTTTTTTCCATTTTCAAGGATCGTATCGCGTTTGTTTGATGTTGCTTGAATGAATGCCATAAAATTAATCACCCACTTCGTAATAGTCCTCAAGGACTGCAAGGACTTTGCATCAATCGTATACGATCGTGTAGCTATCATCAATTATTATTTTATTTCATGAGAAATGTATTTTTATCCCTTTGATAATTATGTGAACGCCACGACACTCTTCCTCTACTAGGCTCTAGTATGATGTCAAATACAATGGGATCCACAAACGCAGTGCCAGTGTACTAGTAGTAGTAGGAGGAGGATTTCTTGTATGCCGATGACAAGAAAAAGCTTCTCAAGCTAATACATGTACTCGTATTCCATGAAGTATCCGTTTTGATGTCACAAACATGACATTGTGCCAGTGAAATTGCCTCGTGACAACAAATCATTGCATTTCCATCTTGGGGAAGACTGACTGACGGCAACGCTGTACAGATTGTTCAAATCATCTCATTTCAATTTTGTTGCAGTGAAGTGAAACACTGTGGAGTACACTACATGTATGTTGGTGTGTCTGTGCGTCTTGAGTTTGCACAAACGATCTTATTCCTCGTATTACTAATAGATTATTGTCCCCACCGTCACCTGTTCACAGGTCTTTGAGTGGATGGATTTTCATTGAGCATCACTTTCGTTGAGAACTTGGTAGTTGTGTGCTACCATGCATCATTACGGTAATACGCGTATCCTTGTGCTATCTATTTGTTGCAGGTGTGCTGATCTTCGGAAGCTTGCGGAACTGATTGCTGCTGAACATTTGCATGGCCATGAGCAATAGTGAAGCTTGCTATTGCACTCTCAGCATGTGCTAGTATTATGCTGACTACTGCACTATGTTACTCTTTTACACTACTGCATGTATGTAAGCGTGCATGCGCCCGCCCACGTATGCATTCGTTTCGTATAATTATTTGTTATCCCTCTTGACTTTACGTGTAAATGGGTGGACGTTTGCATGGCTGTTGGAGTTGAGTGTGTATTGTGTCTCTACTCTTTTCTTGGTGTTTTCTTGGCGTTGTATAAGTTTGTGTGTGTGTGTGTGTGTATGTGTGCGCGCGCACAATAATTTGAAAACAAATAATTAATCCTTGGCTCTCCATACTTCTCTTTCGATTCTTGGTTTTTTTCTAGGTATTTTCTTGGCGTTGTGTGGGTGTGTGCATGTGTGTGTGTGTGCGTGCACAATAATTTGGCAACACTACATGATTGAGATATTGTAATTTGCAGCGTCTGCGAAGAGACCACTTGGTTTGAGGATGGTGTTTGTAGGGTTTATCATGTAATGAAGTGGCTGCAGTGGCAATACTTATTTTTTTATCTTGAGAAGTGAATGATGTAAAGGATTAACGGGAGAGGCCGTTTTCTGGTTAATATTCACTGCTTACAGCAGTTTCTATGTCTAATTTTGAACTCTGGATAGGGGATGCCAAATTGGCTGGACTTTATACAGGGAGTGTTGTCCACATAAAGACTTCTTATTGCTGATTTCAAAGTTTGGACTCCATACAGTTAATTTTGGACCAATGGACTCTATATAGGGGTGAAACCAATTGGCTGGACTCTATACAGGGAGTGATGTCCAGCTCACAGTTGATTCCAAGTTTGGACTCTGATTTTGGACCAATGGACACTATTATAGGGGTTGGACACCATATAGGGGCTGGACGCTCTACTGAGTCCAACATATATACTTATTGATATTAGTATACGCACGTCCGCGTTTACGTCAACAGTACGTCCACGTATTCGCATGTGCTAGAAGACAGGCAGACTTTTGATATTAGCAAGAGTATATAACCCCCAAGAGCGTGCAACTCATGATACCCTTTCTATGGGGTACGCCGACGGCGAAAACTCACGTCACGTGATGCAGTGTCGCAGTTGTATGTTTCCAGCCCGGTTTTAGCGAGCAACGGAGTAATAAAAAGCACTCTGTGTTTTGTGTGTGTGTGTGCACGTATTTTATCTGCTTTGTAGGACTGTGGATGACATTTTCCCGAAGTCAAAGCCGTTTTGTGCCATTTCACGCCCTGTGGATAATGAGGACAGGGCATGGTTTCACCATCAGCTTGGGACACTTGACAGGTGGAAGGGTTTTCGTTGGCTGCTAGATCCCGAGGTGAAAGAAGCGGACAATTTGCCGACGGAGACGGTTGAAGGTATTACCCTGAGTCAAGGATTCCTGGAAGCAGAACACAAAGTCACCTATGTGTGTACCAGGCTATCCGTATCTGCTGCCCGAATTGTAGCCGTGGAAAAAGCAACACGTGGCCAAAACTCGAATGCTACTTGGTCGCTTCTACGCAAGGGCAGAATAACGGCATCCAACTTCGGCCCTGTGCTGAAGACTATCTCATCTGGCCGCCAGCCATCTAAATCTTTATTTACTCGCCTTCTTGGTCAGTATGATTTGTCTGGGCAAAAGGTCATCCAGTGGGGTCTCATGCACGAAAGTACGGCTGTTGCATGCTATGAGGAGTGTGAATATGTGTCTGTGAGATCCAGCGGCTTATGGCTTGCACAATGTGGCCTCATTGGTGGTTCCCCAGATGGCGTAGTTAGCGAAACAAAGCTCATCGAGGTCAAGTGTCCGTACTCGGCAAGATCGACATCTCTTGCAGCTATGGCGAAGGAAAAGACCTTCTTCTTGTCAGTGTCTTCTTCCTCTCCTGCTAACTTTTCCCTTGATTTGTCAACTGAATCTGGATGGAATTATTTCCATCAATCCAAGGTAACTTATGTCTGACAGGTCGTGAAGTATGCGACCTTGTCGTGTGGACTCCGTTGGAGACGGTGATCATCCCAATTCGGGCTGACCCGACCTGGTCAGGAAATTTGGCTCGGATCGAGGAATTCTACAAAACCTTTTTCTTGCCTGTCTTTCTGGATGGTGGTGTGTAGTTAATCCTAGGATTGCAATGGCCTGTGTAACTCTTCCCTTCTATATCCAGCCATGTCTTTCTTTCCACCAAAACAGCGTACAGTGAGAACATCTGTATGTTTGTTCTAAATTGAAGTTCTGCCACTGTGTGTGTAGGTGTGGCTGGGTGCATGTGTGTGTGCGTTTGTGTGTGATGCATTGTGTATGGGTGTATAATTCTGTATGTGTGGGTGCATGTGCGTGTTCGTGTATGCATGAATATTGTAGGCCCATGATAAACAGCACCCCTCTTGCTTTAGTCACCTGTGCCATGGCTGCAATCATAACTCTACACCTTCCTCTTCCTTCAACACCACCTGAACATTCCACACAATTGCACCTACGAGCTGACAATTATATTATTCCCGTAGCTATGCAAAAGACGTTACTTCAGTAACGTCTGACGCTAGCCAGGGTCATCACAGCTTTAACTTTGTGTTTGTTTGTTTGTGCCATCGGCATGCCTCGCGGTATCCCGTACCTGTGCCGTACCGTACCATCAAAGACAGCTGGCCACAATATTCAAATAGGGCTTTCAAATGCAAGATCATAACGTGAAGCAACTTGGAAGAATGAGTATGTATGCAATGTGTATCGGGGGAATGCATGCGATCGCCATAACACATGGCTGAAATGTTTATAGTTTCCAGAACTACATTTCTCGTCACAATCAGTGGGTCAAGATAATTTTGGCAAACGCACCAAAAGGATAAACTACTGTTTTCGTGCCAATATACAGAGATGGCTATCTTTTATGTGCCCAACAAGCGTGGAAAGAAAATTCGCTGCAACTTTCATGTCAGCTGGGAGAATAGCGATTAGGGCACCACGCTCGCCATGGGCATGGCTGTCGAAGACTTGAGCATAACCAGATGGGAAAAATACCAGAAGAATGGTGTAGGGATTTTGAATTAAAGAGGCAGGAAGAACAGATTGGGAAAGAATAGCCTGATCCTTACACTTCTCTAACAACTTTGATAAACCTTCCTCATTCCGTGCACCAAAATCGGAACGAGGTGCCACCCGAAGTGGCTTGCCTGGTATGACATCAAGCGCATCATAAATGGCAAGGAGATTGTTCCCCAACTTGGCATCATCATACAGTCGATTGCCCTCTCTCATGCTGTTTACAAATCTCTTCGTGACTTCGGCAGATGACAATGGCTGTATGGGGTAGGGCACAGTCAGGTACTTCCAGGCCTGTAGACATGCAATGATGGTGCAGGCATTGCTCCATTGCCGCCCATCCATTCCAGACTGGCACATGTCATGTGGCAAATAATGCAATGTGTCCAGGGAGACCCGTGAAGCTGCGGCTGCAGCAGATGCTGCGAGTGCTGCTGCTGCGGCTGACGGTGCTGCGGGTGCTGCTGCTGCGGCTGACGGTGCTGCTGCTGCGGCTGACGATGCTGCTGCTGCGGCTGACGGTGCTGCAGCAGATGCTGACGGTGCTGCTGATGCGGCTGACGGTGCTGCTGCAGATGCTGGGGGTGCTGCTGTTGCGGCTGATGCTGACGGTACTGCTGCTGCGGCAGATGCTGACGGTGCTGCTGCTGTGGCTAACGGGTCTGCAGCTGACAGGACTGCGAATAACTGATTCACCATGTCGGGTGTGATGGCTGATGCTGACGGTGCTGCTGCTGCGGCAGATGTTGACGGTACTGCTGCTGCGGCAGATGCTGACGGTACTGTGGCTGACGGTGCTGCGGCTGATGCTGACTGTACTGTGGCTAATGCTGACTGTACTTTGGCTGACGGTGCTGCGGCTGATACTGACGGTGCTGGTGCTTTGGCTAATGGGTCTGCAGCTGACAGGACTGCGAATAACTGATTCACCATGTCGGGTGTGATGGGCAGTTTCTGTGATGGCGTAGCAGCAGGGGTTTGCAGTGGTGTGAGAGTAGAGATGTCGGTGTGCTCAGAAGTTTCTGATGCAGGATCAGCGCTGAGGTCACCAGCTTCAATCTCCTTCAGGAGAGGATTACAAAGATTAGTTAGCATTGCACAGACTTGGAAGATTTCGCTGGAGAAAGAACGGTACTGGTAGGGTATGTAGTCGAGAATGGCGAAGATCTTTATGCGTTGTATGGCTCGCTCCACATGGATCCGAGCTCTTGCGATGCGGGCAGTTACATTTGCTTGAGCAGCGGTAAACTGAGGAGTAGTGAGAAAAGGAGGAAGATTTAGAGAAACACCAGCCGGCATCAAGTCATGGATCAGGAATCCTTTATCGGCGAGTACCATGTCACCGGCTGTCAACTTTGACAGCACTCCACAGTGGCGAACGACTTCTTTGTCGCTGGTTGAACCTGGGTACAGAGGACTGACATAATTGACAACACCGTTCGGTGCGACACCCACAAGACCTTTGAATGTATTTTTATGTTTGTAGTGGGAATAGGTCCACGTCTGAGTGTCCATACGGCTTGGAATTGCAATTTCGACTTCAGTACAATCAAGTATTAAACGACAACTGGAGAACGTAGAGAAGCAGACGGGTAGAGAAGTCTTGTTTTTCGTGACGGACGGAAGCTGCGACGGGAGCATGCCTTGATAGAGTACAGTATGAAGGACAGAAAGCCATGTATGGAAGATATTAGATATAGTGGTGTGCGAAGTGCCGAAACGTAAGCCGAGGTCAGTCAGACTGAAGTTGCACCGCAACTTCATGAGGGTGATGAGGAGCTGGTCCTCCATTGGTACCAGCTCCACTCGCCAGCCCTGGTGATACTCTATCGGGAACCTCGTGCAAAGACGAAACAGGATACGAAAGTCGTCAGCAGACGGCAGGCCGGTGTAGTGCCGGACAAGTTCAGCTTTCCGGGAAATAAATTCGAAACAGAACTGGATTTCCACCTTCGCTTTTCGCTTTTCTAAGGCACTAACTTCAGCCTTCAACTTATCATACTTCACTTCGAGGATTGACGTGTCGATGCGTTGGAAAAGTTCAAGCAGGCGTTGCATATATATAGTAGTAGCTTCACGTTCAGCAGCTTCGCGTTCAGCAGCTTCACGTTCAGCTTCAAGTGGGTCAGCTTCAGTTGGTTCGCTACCATCCTTGTCCGTATCATCAACAGCTAATGCCTTTACAGTCCGTTTCCTGCACAAAATAATGGAGAGACAGTGAGAAACAAAACAAAAAATGAAAGATTGCCCGTCGATGGTTCACAGTGTTATGAAATACTGATCTGGTCCATCTACTAGAATTCACATAGCACACTTCATTTAGGATGGCAAAACAAATTTAGAAATCGCTTCAGGAGAACATCAAGTTCAATATACAAATCTCTTACATTGACCTGGACTACATACCTTCTATGCATTGGTTCAGGGTCCTGAAAACCAAACGCCTTATCCTTATTTCGTGGAAATATAGTGGGGTCCTTCTTTTTATCTCCGTCTTTGAAATGACAGCTACACAGTCGAGAACTGGCATCTGGCTCCTTGTCTTGTCGCCTGCAAAGTACAGAGCAAACAATATCCAGGAGGGTTTAGCTAGCTGCTCAATAACTTGAAACAATAGTAAATAGTCACAATAGATTGCATCATAAAAAGCCACCTACATGATTGTATAAGGATTTGCACAGTCTTGCTCATGTACTCATTTGGTTTAGCTTAGCCTAGACGGCTATCATTGATTAAAAACAAAATCGTTCTGCCAAAAATATAAGTTAGCACGGCAGGGCATGATTTATCCCATATCGCATGGCAGTTTGCGACGCAGATGCGCCTACTTGCGACTCAAGGTCAGGGTTGTGTAACGAAAATGTGCGATGCATGCCATGCATTGCGGTCCAAAGGTCGTGTGAAGTGTGTACCTGTACCCCACATGTTCTGAGCACTCGGTACGGTACTGACTCTGACAGTAGCACAAATACGTAGTCGACTGCGCAGATTGTGGAGTCCACAGACTACATGTTACCAAGAGTACATAACCCCAGGGTTAAAACTCATATCACGTGTCTCTGATACGTTCGTACTACGTACAAACGAAGGATTGCGTGCGTGCAATCCGAATATCTGCCATGATTTGGCTGGGGATTTGCATACCCTCAGTGAGTTTCTGTCAGAGATTTTTTTTATTACTCTGCTGCTCGCTAAAAACGGGCTGGAAACGTACAACTGCGACACTGCACGTGATGTGAGTTTTCGCCGTCGACGTACCCCATAGAAAGGGTATCAGGAGTTGCACACTCTTGGGGAGTTATATACTCTTGAGGTTACATTGTACACTGCACTGATCTTTCATTTATGCCATGCACTGTAACACACGTGAGTTGCTATGCATCTGATTCTGGGTTTGAGTAAATCATGCCCTGCAGGATATGAAAGAGAAAAATCTGAGGAAGAATTTAGCACGCCGTAGATATTTACGCACATCCGTCACCAACCAAATGTTTGAAGACCTATGGGACCAACTACATGTAGGCTTCCCTGCAACTATGGGAAAATAAAAAATAATTGAAAAAATTACTTCCACTCGATCGAACAAAATACAAACTGTGAAAAAGCGTTACGCCATCCATCCGCCAGCAAAGCAAAACGCATTAGCAGACTTGGTAAGCATTTACTCATAGCGTGAATAGCACATCACGATAAAACTATCCAGGTACTGTACAGGCTGCCTACATATCCTTACCGACACATCTTCCTCCATATCTCTCTGCGCTCTGGATCCCTCGCCGGGAATCGAAAGAAGCTGCACTTGCGATCCTCTGTCCTGTGGTTGCATTCTGCTGCAAACCACTGCACCATGGTCATACGAAGCCGCCCTGCCGGGTCAAGAGTATACTAGGTATCGAAAATTGCTCCCACAGTTCTTCAAGTGGCCTCTTCTCAAAATGTCGCTTCTTTCTGCTTCGAAAAGTATGGGAAACAGCATCAAATCAGCTTGACGCGAGTGGATCCAAAAAGCCAAGTGGATCCAGTTTTGTTGCCAAGCGACGATTGACGTCATCACTTTCAAGCCCTTACACTCTCTCTTTGTCTGCGGGACGCTTTTGGTGGGCACAAGATATTCCACAGCATTCAGGTGCTCGGTCGTTGTCGGGAAAACGTAAACAACGGGCTGAGGTGGGACTATAAAACGAGCGAATAGAAATCGTGTGCCACATATTTTAGAAACGAGTCGACCTTCTCTGGTCGATATTTTCCTCCAAACGTCACCGAACACCACGGCATCGAAGATGGAAAACTCGTCCTCCCTTGCCCAGCTCTATGAGGACCATTCAGCTTTGCAGTATGGCTATGGAAAGTCCTTGATAATCAGCCATCTTGGTCCTGGTGAGGGTGAGAAAATCCTAGATTTAGGATGTGGCACTGGACGTCTTTCAAAGGATATCGCTGATATCATTGCACACGACGGCGAGGTACTGGGAGTGGACCCAAACATAGAGAGAATAGAAGTCGCCAAAGTGCATTATGAACGCCATTTGTCCAACGGAGCAAAGGTGAAGTTCATGACTGGTCTTGTTCATGATGCTGTGCCACACGGACCGTTTGATGCTGTCTTCTCCAACTTTGCACTTCACTGGGTACCGGACGATGATATGAATGCTACGATGAGCAGCATAGAGCGATGTCTGAAGCCTGGTGGCCGTCTGTGTTCTAACATAACACTGAAGACTGGTCCCTATGCCAATGATCTTTCACTGAAGACGACAGGATTGAGTGAGGAGATGGTAACTGGAATGAATTTCCGATCTCTCGACTTCTGGACAAACCAATGCAGAACGGTGGGTCTGGAAGTACAATTCGCACATCAGGATGATGACATGGTCGTAAGTTTCAAGACTGTTCAGGAATACTTTGAGTTCGTGAAGGCGTACACAGAAGGAGGCGTCGATTACGGAAAGCTGAGCTCTGAACAACTGACTGCCTTTATGGCAAGTCATGATATGGGTAGTCTGGACTCGGAGCTTGTCAATCGTTCTGCAATGCTGACCGTGGTGGCGTCAAAGCCAGACAGTGCGTTGTTTTGAGAACGCTCTGCTTTTTAACCGGCATAAGTACTATTTTAAGTAGCCAAGTCTAATAATTTCCTTCATCCAATCATTTATCGTGAAGCACATTTATCGTGAAGCACATTTATCGTGAAGCATATTTATCGTGAAGCATATTGAAAACTCAGATGGTGAGCCAAGGGATATATTAAATTGAAACAAGGAAAACGGTGGGGCACAAGTTAAGCGTTAGAGTCCAGAAGTCCAGAATATGGAATGTCTCCGTACTCCTTGTGAGTCTGGTGCTACCTTGTGCACGTCGGACTCTTCAAAACCCGGTTTAGTTGGTGGACTCAAACGCATAACTTGTGCGCTCCGTTTTCCTTGTTTCAATCCATAGTAAAAAAACACGCTTTTCACACTAGCATGACAACAATAAAATCTCCATATGCATTTCTTTTTTATCTTATACAACACTAGGAAATAGTGTGTTCGAGACGCCCCGTCACATACACATGTACACTGCTTTTCTATTTTCACTTTCATCACTTAGCACTGCTCTTATGAGCGGCACTTTGAGTTGTGGCAGCTGGACAGCGTGCTACATAACTTCCATTTTATCTTTTAAACACAAATGAGGAAGGATGTAAACTGTATTGCTGTGTCCCTGAGTTGCGCGTACAGCCGATCATCGGATATACATGTTGTTGTTGTTGTTGTTGTTGTTGTTGTTGTTGTTGTTGTTGTTGTTGTTGTTGTTGTTGTTGTTGTTGTTGTTGTTGTTGTTGTTGTTGTTGTTGTTGTTGTTGTTGTTGTTGTTGTTGTTGTTGTTGTTGTTGTTATTGTTGTATTATTTTATTTCAATTCGCTCAGAGAACAGGAAATACTGCCTTCTCACCGGAGAGACTATTCTCCGATTCCTACCAAAAACGAGAAATCTGCGATATGTATAGATTATAGACCGGTTAGGAGGTCTATACAGGATATATAGACCGAGTAAAAGACCGAGGTTCCCCGAGGTCTTTTACGAGGTCTATATATCCTGTATAGACCAACTATGAGGTCTATAATCTATTTATCGTGTTCTCCACGCAATAGTTTCTCTTCATATACGACATATCCTTGTAATTCTAATATTATACTATAGCCTATACCGCATTGTACGGCATTGCAGGATCAAGGTCATTGTTTAAACTAGGTTCAGCATCGGTAGCACAGTGGCTGGGTGGTAAGGAAGAGTGACTGAGATTCACATGGTTGTGGGTTCAAATCCCATCTTGTGTGTTTCTGCTTTCTTCAAAA